GCTATATATTATTCCTTTTGTTGCCACCCTTTTTGGCCCTGAGATTTCTGATTGGTCTGAGAGTTCTGATTGGTTTTGATTGGAAGGATAGTGGGTAGAGCTTAATGCAAGACGCCTTAAGGTCTACCCACTCATTTTTCCAATCAGCCAACAAGAACTCGGCGTACTGACATCATCGCAATCCCTGTGCAAGAAGCAGACGAACTTGCGTTCCGTATAGTCCCGAGCTCTCCGTTTGACTTGACGCATTGTCACGTTTTAACGCACTTCCGCAGCCCCAACAGCGTGTCACCCTCAATGTAAAGATCGCGCTGAATATAGACTATAATGCATTTAGCCGTTACCTCGATCAAATAGTGACGGAGGGCGTTACCCGTTACCGAATCTCGCTTCAGCACAACTAAAGCGAACATACGGCTTGAGGTGACACTATATTCGTCTTACGTGTTACGGTCTTGTTCATCCGGCCTTCTGAATCGCGGCGTAAACGTTAGTAAACATCGAGATGAGGACAAAGCTTTAAGTTTCACGTTGCACATCATCGCCCTCCCCCCCCCCCCCCCCCCTCTCCAAAAAAAAAAATAAATGTCGTTATTTTTTGGAGCACTGCGCGTGGGCAGAAACCAGATTCGCGTCAAGTGGAGCGTCTGCGCATGCTCCCTGCCAACAGCAGCGCCACCGCGGCAGCCTGACGTCAGGGCCGCGTGCTGGCGTGCCTCCCATGTTTATTATCATTGCCACGCGCTGCTATGTGGCAAAGCATAGGGTATACGGGCCAAGTTCTAGATGATCTTTAAGGTTCGGATATATTCCCGTCGTCGCAGTGATCAGGCATGAGCCGCTACCCGAATGCATGTCGAGGTATCGATTTTACGAACCCGAGTGGGAATCGAGTGAGCATCCCAGTGGGGATCGCAAAGTTTGATGACAAAATTTTTTAGGACCGCATTGTTGACAACGACCAGCGACGCGATTCCCGCAAATGTGTCATTGGATTTAGCGAAGGAAGACTAAAAAAGAAAGACTCCGCTTCTAGTCTTGATGCGGTAACGAGGAGGCTTCTTGGTCAGTGGCATTGCGTGCGAGTATATATGGGTCCCGCGAGGGCCAGTGAGCTTGTGTAAACTACCCAATATCGTTGCACGGCCCCTTTAATGTGAAAGAGAGTAGAAAGTGTTGCCAAAACTGTTTTTTTTTTTTTTCTGTAAGGCGTTTATTTTTAGGTGGAAGACGACTTCCCAGTCCTATCAATTGCATTTTAGGGAGGGACATAAATATATAAATATAGCGTCGAATATTGTCTGCGTAATATTGTTTCCCATCAATTCCCTCCAACAATTATAGTCCGGCCTTTTTTTTTTTTTTTTTTTGAAGGAACGGAAGAACAACTGTCAAGTATCAGTTGTTCTTCACGCTTACGTGGTCATTCGCGTGATTCCTTCATCTGCGTCTTATCAACTATTTTCAGCGTGTGTTCCGAAGGGTGTTTCCACGGCACATTACTTTGGTTGTCAGGGGCCATTAATATTTTCTCCACACGTCCCTATCGGCGAGTGAGTCGGTCTTGACAGCTTTTTGAATCGATCTTTATATAAGCACGTTCGAGTTCGAAAAAGTTGACAGCATTTCTATTGCTACGAAGAGGCCGTCGAAGACGACACGAGTTAGCAGTGCACACGAGGCTAGCCAACACCACCTAGAATTATCGAAGCTCGCGAACAGCTTCCAGATCTCCCACGTAACGTGATTGCACTAAGATGGAGCCAGCTCGGCAAATTTGGCCCCGAACCCAACAGCCAGCGTTCTTGGACGCATTCATTCGACATGAGGTTCAGACGAAACTCTCACGCAACACTCGGTTCTAATATACGTGTCTGCGCCCGATCTCCACTGAGATTACATTAAAATTCCAGCGAACGAAGTTCGATTATTCTTGATGGCGTTAACCTATAGCGCGCCAGGATTCCAGCTGTGGGTCGGCCTCTTTGAAGCCGTTCTCTGTTCCATCAACATCCCGTTCTTTCCTGTCTTTCGCGTCTCCGGCCAATAATCGCCCAAACGAGTAAACATTCTTTCTTATCATCACACGTGTGCCTACTCCCCTCTGCCGTCTGTCGTCTCCCCGTGTCAATTAACGTGCGAACCCCGGAGCTCACTCGTTTGAAACGCGAACCAAACGTTCTATAGTGACGCCGATACGTTTAGTCGGTTCTTGTCTACGGTATCTCGCCTGCAGTTGCTTATTTGAAGTCACACTGCTCGTTCATTATCCAAACGACAGGGTGTCTGCTGCAGATACGCGGAGACGCCTCAAGCATGTTCGGAGCATGTTTGCCTTATACGCATGCATGATTCTAAGATGTCGGCAGAAAGTGTTTGCATGAAAGGACCGTCCTTCACGGAACAAACACGCCTCACTCACAATGTCTTCACGCAGTCATCTGTATGAAGTATTGGCGGTGCGAGCGTGGCTTGAGATTACGTTTACTTTTGTCGATGGTGCTCTTTGTTAAACTGTACAGTTCTACAGTTATCAACAAACATAATCCAATCGAGCAACAAAAACGAAAGTAGTAACTCGTTGATTGTAAATTTCATCCTGATGTGTAATACTGTCATCCTGACACTTTTGTTTCGTCCTGGTGTCACATCTTTTTGTCGCGTCCGGTTCTGGCGTGCACAATATCGGGAAAATAGGAACAAATGAAAGGTGTCTCTTGGTCGGGAAGGAGCTAAACTTTAGGGAAACATCAATCATCACATCGGTGTAAAGAGGAAGGCGCGTGATACTAGGAAGGAGCGAATATTGATACCCCGACGGGGCAGAGTGAGTGATTATCCGGTTGACCAGAGCCGAGTCGTGGTGCCTGTGCGGGAGAACCAAACACAAGCACCGACGCCTATCCCGGGTTAATTAAGCTGGAGAAGCGTACGTGTCTTGCGTTCCTTCCGGGGAAGGACGCCACGGGGTAATGGTTGGCATTTGCGAATTATCTGCTCGTTCCCTCCTCATTTCGTTAAGCGCTCCAGACGGCTCTAAAGCAATCTCCTTGACGAACCTCTTCTTTTAGTTCTTATCCTTAGTTATTTTTTGCACACTTGTAGTGAGTGGGCATAGAAACTATACGAGTGCAAAGTATGGACACGCTTTAACCTGACAGCGGGTTGTGGGTGCACAACTGCTTTATAGGGTTCAATGATGGTTGAAAATTTATCTAATTATGTGTTGCGATGATAATTGAATACTATTAAAACAAAGATTATGGCACGGTGTGTAGCGTTTGTCTAATTATTACCGAGTTCTAATGTTCCAAAATGATTATGAATGTGTTGAAAGAGAGACTGAGAGAATGGTCCTCTGTTCTCGAAGCGCAAATAAATGCTCCTTCAAGAAAAACAAAAAAAGAATTACACTGATGCCTGTAATACGCTTTTTTTTTTTTCACGAATATATGACTAATAGGCTGTCGTGTATTGAAATCGTTAATCACAACCGTATCATTTGATTATTATTTTGCAGCCAGTAAGGTCGTTATCATAACAAGAGAAATTAGGAACTAATGCTTAGGCGACAAAGGAAGTCATAGTTCCGCTGTGTTGTTTTTAGAGCTCATAAGCTTTATTCGAATATAAGATTATTGAACTCGTTTCTCACAACAGCGCCAATGACAAGTAATGTCGTCTTTCTTATAGGTATCCTGGTGTCGTGAAGGTTCAACGCTCCGTTCTTCCCACCAGTTGCCAATAGCACAGCATATAACGCAATGTTCCGTGCTATCTTGCCATATATCCTTCGTAACCATTTTGAATTTATTCTTCATATTAATATTGCATTATGCTCAGGAAATTTGTAAGCGCAATCAAAGACAAACACGGAAACGCGGACACGAATGGACAAGTGCTTCCTCGCGTCCCCTTCGTCGTGTCTGTCTTTGTTTGCTCTTATAAACTTCCCTAGCAAAGCTACAAAGAAAAAAGATGCGACCAGCGTACTTTGAAACTCAGCAGCACATAATGTGCTCCCTTGTTTTACTGAAAAATAGTTGGATCTGGGAGCGAACGAGAAGTTTGCACGCAATAATAAGTGGGGCGCGTTAGTAAAACTGATATAAGATGATTATACAGCGAAAAACGAAAACAGAAAAAATAGAGCATGTGGGAACAAAGTTATCACTGTCCGCGCTGTGTTTCGTCTCATGGCTTGCCGCGTCGTAGTCCACGTGTATCCGTGGAGCAATATCCGACGTTCTCTCTTGTGTGTTTGGTCACAACGTCGAAATCAATATATTGGGTTACAGATATCCCACGAAACCCCACAAACGAAGGACAGACAACACTATCAGGAGGCGGGAGGTTGCAATATGGTTTCAGCTCCTTGTCTCTTTAGCGGCGTTCGTGATTGACCAAGAGCGCGCAGAGAAATGGCGGGCAGGCTTTGGTACATGAAAGAATATCTGCATGTCAATCGAGATCGCTGACGAACACGAAAATAGGGACGAGAAATATGAACATGGCGCGGTGTTGAAACAAAAAGAGATTTCACTGATAGATGGGGACGTGATTCCCTTCCCAAAAGTTAGGGAAGACGTACTGGGAAAATGATAGGTAAAACAAAATGGTTGGCTGTGGTTCGGAAACACTTTTTTTGGGTCCCAGAAGTTGTTTCTTTTGTGCGTGTGGTACCTTGCCTGTACAATTAAACTTACAACTTAATGCAAGAGCAAAAATAGCTCTTGATATAAGAGCAACAGATGCCCTCGCATCCCGAAATCAACTTTTTTTGTTGCTATATTCATGGCAGGAATGCTAGCGAAAGTGAGCAAAACAAACGCGGTTAAGTTCCCCGCTTTTGTCCATCGGTTCCCGCGTCACGACGTATAGCGTGCACGCGTCCGCAACCACCTTGCTCCCGCGCTTCCCCTGTTCCCTGCCCAAAGCAGCCGGGAAGGCCCAAGAAGTTTCCACCTCAGGTTGAGGTCGGGCAGCGGCCAGCAACTGACCTTTGACGACGGCGGTAATCCACAAGAGGCAGTAAAATCCGAGCCGCGCGGCGCACGCCGCCGGCAGCAGCGCTGCTGGGGGCGACATGGAGGGAGCCACCACGCAACGTTCTTTGCTCCTGCCGAACCACGCGTTTTTTCCCGAAGCCACGGGGGAAGAGAGCGGGGTGGACCGTCGTCGGAGTAGGAGCGCTGCCGGCGGGAAACTGCCGACCGCGGGACGCCAACGCCGGCGCTCGCGTGACTCAGGGACCGGGGGTGGCAACCGGGCCTCGGTGGGACGGACGCCGGGGCGGGCCGGAGTTGGCGCCCGAGCTGATCGATGCAGCAGCCGCGCTCCGGACGCCCCGAGCCGGAGCGGCGCGCGCGCGCACCCGACGCTCTCTTTGACACCCGTCGTCGGACTCTTCTTGATCGGACAAGAACGAAACAGCGGGAGGGGGTCGCCCTCTCGAACTCGAGGAGTAGAAACAAACAAGGCGGAGAAGAAACGGAAGCCCCCCGCGTTGAATGACGGATTTAAAACGATATCGCTCGCTGGGATTTTTGAGGAAAGTGCGATTGTGTGTTCTTGAGGGGTCCGAGTTGATCTGGAGGAAGCGGGTCTGATTGACAGGCGGCCAGCTAGCGTTCCTTGAGGTTGGGGTGTCCTGTCGGGTAGAGGCTGCGTCGACGTCGTTGGAGTGTAGATGCGTGTGCGTGGCGCGCTGCTACGCGTACAACGAAAAGTGTGTGCGCGCGCGCTGGTTCCTTCCAGGGATGGACATATATCAATGAGCGCACGCAGTACTTCCCCTTCTTTCTGTTCTCGTCTTGTGTTGTGTGGATTCTGTAACCACGTGGATTACGCTGTCCGAAGGAAGAAAGCGAACGCATCAAGTCGTTCTGCGAGGTCTGTTTGCTTTTGCGAACCATCGGGACAGCTCATTTGTGCTCCAGTAGTGTACTGGATAGAACAAATTTATCTGGTTGTGATTGTGATTTTGCGAATTTGAGTCGCACAAAAGGAAGAAAGTTAAGACGATTGATAACAAGGCCTTCTTGCGTTAGTACGCGTATACTACGTACAAAGTACAGCAGAGTTAGCGCGAAGTAACGATCGCCAGTTTTTGGTCGTGCTTGACTAATAGCTGTCATCAATATTGAGAGTGTGATGGAAAGTACTCGTCAGGTGAATAAATGTTGGCATCGTCAATAACGTGTTCAAAAAACCGCAAAAAAACTCGGAAGTTCCGTTCGTGCTAACAATGTTACGCATTGTGTGTACGTATACCACGTTAAAAAATATATATTTCAAGCTAGAAGCTGTTTTTCTACGGTTTCATGTTTGACCATTTTAAATAAACTACAGATGGGAAAAAGTAAAATAACCTAATGATTCGATTAACTTACGCTTTTCCTTCCTAACTTCTACCCCACCCTATCGTTGCTGTTGTTGTTTCTTTTTTTTTTCATTTTCTTTCTTGCTTCTTTTTTTTTCTTTTTTCTTTTTTTTTTTTTCTTGCTGAGATTTTACGCATTACATTATTTCCATTCGTTTCGAGGTTACATATTAAACAAACGTTGGAGTAAGTATTGACACAGTTTCGTGTTCAGCCCATTAGCAGTAAAAAGAAAAGTCAGCAGAAGGTTAAATGTACTGCGTAACTTCAAACAAAATTCAATTAAGTTTCCAATAGTATTACATTAGGAGCCAGCTATAACTATTCTGACATCTCAGGAGAGTGCTGTAAGAGAGGCTCTGTAAGAGAAGGATCATGCACTACCTCCGACTCACTTGTTTATTTTAATACTGATCATTTCTCCGCACTATCATGTCCCTTTACCCCGTGCCGTGTGCAGAGAGAAACCACAATGGACAATCGGTCGAACACTTTACCCGTCATTACTTCAGGCTGCCAGGTGTCAAAACACGCCAAAAGCCAAACCGCAGCGCCCATATGTTTATTGCAAAACAGTGTCTGGTCACTTTATGACCTGGTGGAGCGGAGACTCTGTTTGAGAGTCCCCTTGTGTCTAAGAAATAAAACTCTGGGAATTAACTGCCAGCTACCATCTTTTTACCCGGGAGGAGATTTTTCTTTTCTCATTATTTCTCTTCACTCCACCTCAGTCATAATTTTCCTTAATGGCTTTTCCTCAAAACCTTCGGGAGCACCAATTCCTATATATTGTATAATTAACATCATATGTAAGAGAAAAAAAATAACTTTGACTTTGATTTTAATTGTTGGAGTGTGGTCAATGTCACACAAAGCCCTGAAGTTGGTGACATAATGGCAGTCTGTCATTCCGTTTTTGAGTTTAACCACAAGTAATCAAAATATGCTTGTGCAATTATCAAGATTACCGCACAAGCGCACAAACTTCTCACATATAAAAATCACTAACTTGATTCAACTTTTGTTTTTCCGAAACTCAAACGTAACACAAATTGAAAGCGTTTTGCATTGTTCTAGACCTGTCTGAGATCGATTGCATAAACAGTCTCTAGCGTATAATGGCTGCGTAGACTCGTAGCAGACTTCGCAAAGCGCCTTGCCCAGGTTTCCAAACAATGGTCGAGGTTTCTCATATTCTCGACGGTTCCAGACTAATTGGAACCCTCACAAATAATTTGCTTAATGTTTTCTCTTCGCCAAGTTGAAAGGACTTTTTTTTAGCAGTGTAGTTACTTATTTGCTCAGGTTCTGCATAAATATAAATCACAAAACGTAAAGGCATTTGTGCATCTTCTATCTCCTTGCTCGATTGGTCACGAGATTTGACAGTCAGGGCGGCCACGTGGAAAAGCTGGTCTACGTTTCGTTCCTCTATGCAAAGAACCAAACTGCAGAGGGAACGATGTTAGAGATTTGAAACGCCCCAACTCCTCATAGTCAACTCGTACGCTAGACGCAGTTTGTAAAGCTAAGATATGGTGTCTCTCTTTTTCTATTTTCGACGCCATTTCTTTGAATCCTTGGCATCCACCTGATGTGCGAGACAAAAACAAAATGCATAGAAATTTGTAGATAAACAAATATACGTGTTCACACTGTTCAAACTAGCCCTCAAAAAAAAAAAAAAAAAAAAAAAAAAAAACATGAACCAGAACACGAAGTCGAACGCTTACTTCATCCCTCAACGTTCTAAAAAATATAGGTTCTTACGGTCTGATTGAATAAAGATATACGGCTTGGCTACGCATGAATCGGTTTGTTTATTTCGTTCCATAATTCGGATCACTCTTTGAAAGTACGACTGCTTAGACAGCGAGAGAACATAGTACCTAGAAATTGGGCTTTGTGCCTCCTTGCAGTGCTTTGGCCAGTGCTTCCAAGACCGTAATATAGAGTCTCCAGTCCGCATCACGCAATGATGATTACACAAATACAAAGTGATTACACGAACACGATTGAATTTTGACCCCTTTATTCCATTACAGAGAAAAACGAGAACAAGTATTCAAGGATTCCCATTTCAAAAGGCAATTGCAGTCTTTAATGTATAATCATAGTTATTCGCTTTCAAGCATGACAAAACAATTGAAAAATGTTACGGCAGTGCTGTCTCTCGGTTCGCGTGGCCACAAGATTCGATTTTTTTTCTCCATAAGCAAAAGCCTTTACCACTTACAATAAGTCCTTACTTTTCGGTGCTCTCAAAACACATTCTGGTGATTTTGTAGAGCGGTCAGTGCGGTATGCCTCGTCAACGAAATGCTAATGCAGAATGGACCTTTTCCACATACCGACGGCATTAGGCGGTGGCTGCACGAACTAAAAATCGAGGAAGTGACCTAACTGCACTACCAATCGATAATGGGAGCTACGCTACCAGTTTCTTCGCTCTCTGAGCAGCGGCGCCTGCCCAACGCGACTTTAAAAAGGGGCATCCGTGACGTCCACCCAAACGTCGTGTTTTCCTTTCCGTCGACGTTCTTTTTTTGTGTAACACAAGTATATATATTCTGCAGTTACGTGTTCTACTCGCTGATATACAGCCTCCTTCCGAATTTCCTCGATTTTTCGTTCCGACTTCCGCCGCTTGGCATCGGGCGCTCGCGCGTGCGCAGAACGCTTCTCGGAAAAGGTCCATTCCCTCGGTTGACTTGGGGCGATCCAAAGGCACTCCATGCTCGCACCTTTGGTCAACACCTTCTAGATAACAAAGCCAAAGTGCTGATAGAAATGTCGTCATCAGCGAAAGCCAACGCAGGTCACAATTTCGACACGACGATTGCTCAAACTTGATTCGAAGCCTAGTGTTGACGCAGCGCTCGTTGCCAATCTGTGTCCAGCGTTGGCCTTCGCTGGTGGCGCAAACATGTCAGCACTACGGTCTTGTCTCCTAGGTGCTGTTGCTTGGGTGCGCTAGGTGCGAGCGCGCGCTCATACGCCCAAGAGTATGCAAAAAAAAAAAAAAAAAGAAGCTTCAAAATCGCTCCAACTTTGTTAACGGTGTTCTCTATTAAAGCCCGTAGGATAAAGGAAGCATTAAATGGATGTTACATTCTATGGCCTTGTACGCACACTCTATGGCAATATAGAGGATATATCTATGAAAATTTACGTAGCCTGCGAATGCTTGAAACTATAGTAAAAAAAAAATGGTCCTCGAAAGTTCGTTAGACGGCTGTATTTAAACTTCTCTGTGACAATATTTTTTTTTTTTTTTTTTAGTTTCGATTTTTTGGTTGAGTTGGAGTTTTGAGCGTGTCCGCCACCTTCTTCACCTAACTCCAGGGTTACTACGTCACAAATTCGTTCGTTCAACGATAACGTACCTTTTGTGTGTTTTTGTTGTTTTCTTAAATAGACATTTGACTTAAAGTACACATGTCACCGAGAACAAAGGCATAGGAAAATTTCAAGATTCATTCCTCACCTCCCACCGCCTTCAACATCTTCGCGTTCGTAACCCTTAGTATACGTAAAATTAGACGTAATCAGACATGACCGAGAATCAAAGACGGCACACTGTAATTTCTTCATTCAGTGTGCTTAAAAATCGGTGTCTTTTCTTATGGGAGTCAGGAGCTTTCGTGAAGCTGCGAGGCGCCCAAGCTATTTCTCCATACTTCTCGCTTGCCTGGCCCCTCTCGAAAAACAGAAAAGTCTGCATCCGCCCTGGACAAAGGAATCCTCCAAACGGTCGCTCTTTTGTCTTTTTCGAGACGCAGAGAGCCAGATGCGCTTATTCAGCGCTATGTCGTTCAAACGTCACGCGTCTGTTTTCGTTATGCAGCTTTCTTTTAGG